AAAAAATTAATATTTGTTTTTTTTTTTCGGGGGGATATTATAAAGATAATAAAGTGAAAAAGTAAAAATTTATTTTTTATTATATATATATCCATACGCGGCAGCTTCCTGATTTTAAAAACTGCTTTTTTATCACTAATATTATTATTATTATCATCATCATCTGTAACAACCACGACAAAAACAACAACAAACAAAAAATAAGTATTTATCATTATTAATTTACCCGCACGCGAGAGAGAGAGAGAGAGAGAGAAGTTATCATTTTTATCACTCGTTCTTTTTTTTTCCTATATACGCCCCTCATTTAATTATTTAAACAAATTCGAATTTTTTAATAAATAGAAAAAAAAAAATTTGACCGGTCGTAAACCCGTTTTAATTATTATTATCATTATTATTATTATTATTATTATTATTATTATTATTATTATTATTATTATTATTATTATCACGGATTTTAAAAGTTTTCTTTTTCGTTAAATGTATCTGTCCATCGTTTACTATGTACGTTTAAGAGTAATGACGTCATAGGATCGGAAAAAGGATATTTACGTGTGTGCGTGCGTTATACAGAACAACACCACGTGATTATTTATTATTATTATTATTATTATTATTATTATTACGACGAGAAATAATAAATAAATATATATATGAGAGATAGGATTTCATTTAAAGGAGGAAGTTTTTTTTCAGGTTAGGTTAATAATCTCGTTTTTTTTTTTTTTTTTTAGTTAACACTTGATGAGGAGTTGAAAATATCAGGAAATTAAAAAAAAAAAACATGATGATGATGATAATAATGATAATAACCGATAAAGATGATGATAATGATAATGTTAAAACGGAAATTGATTTTTTTTTGTCGTCGTCGTCGACGTACCTGAAAGATGAAAATTGCAAAACAAAAATTTTTTTTAAACTTTAAAGTTATGAAAACGTTTTTCAAAACGATGTTAATATCATCATCATAATCATCATGGAAAGTTGTTATGATGACGATGACGGTGATGATAATAATAATAATAATAAAATTTTATTTAAGGCTAATGATAATAATAATAATAATAATTATACGGCGTTTGGTCTGGAGAAGGTTTAAATGAAGAAAAAATAATTTTTCGAGTATTATTATAACAATTAATATTATTATTAGTATGATTTTCTTCTGCTTTTCGCGTTTCGCGACCGTTATAACAAACAATTGTTGATAACGAATAAATAAATAAATAATTAAAAATAATTACGAG